GGAATTGGGTATTCTGAAATAATGGCGGCACTATAGGAATAAACTGATGTCGAATGCTCACCGGACATGGGGCATGAACTCAGAAATGCTAAACGACTAGAAGAAGACAGGACGTCATGGTACTCTTTGGGGGCACGGAGGGAACTGAGAGCAACAGAGATGGCATAGGCTGCAATAGAGGAGAAGAGACGGTACCCAGTGGTCAATGAGACGGGAATAGCATCTGCAACGGTACCGAGGGGAACCACGCGTCCCGAAGACACCAGGTGAGAGTTGAAATCAAGTAGACCGGCCAACGCGTCTGTCCACCCTCCCACGCCCAACTGCCCTCCAAGGCGCCACTATTCGTTGCTCTGACTCCAGAAGGACCCAACACGAGCACTACCCCATTAACAGCATCTCATACGCATTCTTGCCTACTTCGGAGAGCCAACAGAGGGTGTCCACACCAATAGCATGGGATAATAGAAGAAGCTTACACCCAAAGCATCTTTAAATGACTCTTCCACGTCTGCCGATGATTTAAATTTTTCAAACAGAGCTCGATTTTAAGATTATTTGATTATTTGAAGGCCTAATGTGCAAGTAAAGGTGAGAAAAATGCACTATTGAGAATGAAAGAGGAATCTTTTAGGTTCCAGGGACACTAAGCAACCTTTTAACAACCACTGTAGTTTTAGAACAAAATGGCTTACATAGAGACAAGGTTAAGTTGCATAAAAGGTATTACATTAAAACGTGAGACAAACTTACGACTGAACGCCAGTTGCTGAAGTCATATGTTCCACAGGGGAAAGTACTCCCACAAATACTCTGGAAAATCTGTTCCGGGATACTTTCGCCCTCTCGACCTTTCACCAACGAAGAATGCGTTCTGGGAGTTAACTGCATTTACCATTTCACAATACCTTCACCACTCTGGCAAATAGAACATTTGTCAGAACTATGTATATTCGGTTTAATACGGAGATTAAGGGACTAAAATCACTTACTTTTATCTCAAAATTCCTTCTCTAATCTTCAGGTCTAAACCAGCCAAAATTGCCCATACCGTTTGCTTAAAAGATTTTAAATTCTTGAAAAAGCAAATGCAATCATACCAGATGTTCACTTATGCATTGAATACATGGGGCTGAACAAGAGCCCCCACCCTTAACAAGTCCATTGTAATGGTGCTTTTGCAGAATGGACGACTTAGATGAATGCTTTTCACACATTTAGCTTGATATTTACGGTCTGAATCAATTTGGACGAGGAGCAGGAAAAACACCACAGCAAGACGACTTCCAAATCACCGCCCGTGGCATTCGAGGTTATTGGCCGATCCGAAAGAACTGATTATTATTCGTGACCCATTTACTTATCATTTTTAGCTAGAAATTTTGCAAATTTATTTATTTATTTTTAATGTAAAACTTGATGAACGAAATGTCCTACCAATCTAATAACAATTTGGATGCAAATCTTAAAACATATAATTCTTAAAGTATTCTTAGCATTTTAAAAAGCATCAGTCGTGACCACTTAATTACCATTTTCTGCCGGAAATTTTCAAAATTTTTAACGTAAAGTTATATTTAATATTCTTAGGTAATTTGACACTGCATACACAATTTTTAATGCAATACTTAATGAACAATGTGTTCAGTCAATCAATTAACCATTTAAATACAGATCTTAAATCTTGTCTTTTTTATAGTATTTTTGGCATTATCGTGTAGTAATTTAATTGACTATGAGAAATGATTGAACGATCTTCTAATTCAAAGACTTAGGTCTATTTTGTACTTTACTAATTTAGAGCCCTCTCACTGTGGTAAATCAATATACGCTTTTCATGCTTGACGTATTGACACTTAAAGGGCACTTATTTAGGATGATTCTTATGGGAAGGACTT